TCCCCTATAGTTTTGTGCCTAGTCTCATGGATCCATACTCTAACCATGCATAGCTTGGTATTCAGGCCAAGACTCCAGTGAACGCTGTGGTGCTCTTTCTCTGCCTTGCTCACTCTTTTCCAATACTTTTTGCAATTCCAGTGACTTTAGACTCACTGAACTCCAATCACTGTTTCTTCAACTCAATGAAGCTGTCATGCTTTGTTTGGATTCTTTCTTTGTACTGTGTATATATGTATTTAACTTTTGTAAAGTTTGTGGATAACTTTTTATCCACAAACAAGGTGTATTCCTCCATTTTCTAAGTTCTATTTCACGTCTTTAATAAAAGTTTATTAATTTACCTCCCAAAAGTTTGTGTATCTCCTTCGTTAGACTTATTCTTTGGTCCTTGTGTAGTTATTGAATCTTTTTTAGTTTTTTAAAAATTCAAACTTATAGAAAACTTCAAAATTACATAAAAGTTGCAAGAATATTAAAAAGAACTCCCATACAATCTGGAATTGACACTTTTAAACATGGTCATGTTTATTTTATCATCTTTATCCATATCTAGATACATAGACACAATGGCAAAATTTCATGAAACCATTTGACAGTGAATTATATACATGATGTACCTTCATGCCATAAAAATTCAATATGTATTTTTTATTTTTTGAGACAGAATTTCATTCTCTCTGTTGCCCAGGCTGGAGTGCAGTGGTGCAATCTTGGCTCACTGCAACCTCCCGCTCCTGGGCTCAAGTGATCCTCCCACCTCAGCCTCCCAAGTAGCTGGGAGCTGAGACTGCAGGCACGCACCATCATGCCCAGCTAATTTTTGTATTTTTTGCAGAGACAAGGCTTTGCCATATTGGCCAGGCTAATCTCAAACTCCAGGGCTCAAGCGTTCCCTCTGTCTCAGCCTCCCAAAGCACTGGGATTACAGTCATGAGTCACCACACCCCGCCTCAATGTGTATTTCTTAAGAAAAATGATATATATACTTTAAAAAATTTACAGTTAAGTTATAAAATGCAGGAAACTGAATATTTATAATACACTTTTATTTAAACTATAGTCTATATTCTAGTTTTGTCTCTTACATCAATAATTTTTCCTTTACAGCAATGGTTTTTCCAGTATAGAATCCAGTTCAAAATCATGAACAACAGCAATTCTATGGGAATTGTTTGTTGTTCATGCCATTGGCATGTTTGAAGAACACAGGACAAGTATTTTACAGAGTATAACTCAATTCAAGTTTGTCTGATGTTTTCTTACATTTAGATTTAAATAGATTTTTTTCCTGGAATTTTGTATAAGTGATGTATGTTTCTTAAAGATACATGTGATAATCTTTTCCCCCTTAGCGATATTTATTTTAATGACATGTGTAAGGTTTTTTCTGACTTCTCCACTGCTTACTTACCATTTTTTGTAATTAAGTATTTATATATTATTAATCTAACAATTAACAAATTAAACCATTTCTTCCTTTAAATCTTTCTATTCTGTATTTGTATCTTGTGTTTTTTTGCCATCTTACTGCACTGAACACACAGTAGTAATACTAAGAATCAGTATCCTTGTTCTCTTCCAGTTTTTGACTCCTTCCTTCCTTCTTTCCTTCTTCTTCTTGCATTTTACTTTATATTTCTAGAAATCTATTTAATTTTTTGAGTCTATATTTTGAAATATATTTTTCTGAAAAACTGAATTTTACCTGTTTTCATTTTTGTAAAATGTGACTATAGTATTTCCTTCCATTGTAATTCTGTATAGATACCTAGTTATGTACCCATTTTATTGCTATCAATGTTTCTTTGTTTTTTATCTTTTTGTTCTTGGTCAATCACGCAATAGGTTTAAGAATTTTATTAGTCTTTTTCAAGAACTCAGTTTTAGGTTAATTAATTTTTCTACTGTATTCATTTCCCTCCCTACTTTTCCATATGCTCTCTCTCTCTCTCTTTTTTTTTTTAACTATGTTGTGGCCTAATTGACAAATAAAAATTACATATATTCAAGGTATGCAATGTGGTGTTTTCATAGACCTATATATTGTGAAATGGCAACCACAATTAAGGTAATTAGCATATCACCTCACCTAGCCACTTGTTATGTTGTTGTTACCTGGCGAGAATAGTTAAGATCTACTCTCTTAGCAAATTTCAAGTGCTTAATATGTTACTATGAAGTGTAGTTACCATGCTGTACATTAGGTTTTCATATCTTATTCTGCAAGTGTGTACCCTTTAACCTTCTTACCCTCATTTCTCCCAACCCTTCAGCCCCTCATAACAACCGTTCTGCTCTCTGCTTCTACGTATTTGATCTTTTTAGATTCAGATTCCACATATTGTCTTCCCTCAGTTTTCTTTAAGAACACTCTGGCCGGGCGCGGTGGCTCAAGCCTGTAATCCCAGCACTTTGGGAGGCCGAGACGGGCGGATCAGGAGGTCAGGAGATCGAGACCATCCTGGCTAAAACGGCGAAACCCCATCTCTACTAAAAAATACAAAAAAACTAGCCGGGCAAGGTGGCAGGAGCCTATAGTCCCAGTTAGTCGGCAGGCTGAGGCAGGAGAATGGTGTAAACCTGGGAGGCGGAGCTTGCAGTGAGCTGAGTTCCGGCCACTGCACTCCAGGCTGGGTGACGGAGCAAGACTCCGTAAAGAACACTCTGCTGCTCATTTTCCCTTCCTTCCTTCCTTCCTTCCTTCCTTCCTTCCTTCCTTCCTTCCTTCCTTCCTTCCTTCCTTCCTTCCTTCCTTCCTTCCTTCCTTCCTTCCTTCCTCCTCCCTCTCTCTCCCTCCCTCCTCCCTCCCTCCTCCTCCTTCCTCTCTTTCCTTCCTTCCTTCCTTCCTTCCTTCCTTCCTTCCTTCCTTCCTTCCTTTTCTTTCTTTTCTTTCTTGAGACGGAGTTTTGCTCTTGTTGCCAGGGAGTGCAGTGGCGCAATCTCGGCTCACTGCAACCTCCACCTCCTGGGTTCAAGCGATTCTCCTGCCTCAGCCTCCCAAGTAGTTGGGATTACAGGCATGTGCCACCACGCCGGGCTAATTTTGTATTTTTAATAGAAATGGGGCTTCTCTGTGTTGGTCAGGCTGGTCTCAAACTCCTGACCTCGTGATCTGCCCACCTCCGCCTCCCAAAGTGCTGGGATTACAGGCATGAGCCACCGCACCTGGCCTCATTTTCTAACTTGTTAAGCCTGTTTTTGGGCTTTTATAAATAAGCATTTATAAATATAAATTGTCCTCATAATACTTTGACTATAGCCCATGCATTTTGATATGCTGTATTTATGTTTTGTTCACATCTAGGTATCTTAAAATATTTATTATGTGTAATATTTGACCCACAAGTTGTTGAGAAATGCATTTGTAAATGTCCAACTGTGTAAATTTTAAGTTATTCTTCACTGATATCTAACTTAATTCCACTCCTCATGAAATACGTCAGTGTGACGCTTGTTGAGATTTGACTCTTCCCTTCCTTTCCCATTCCACAGCCTGTCCTCCTCACAGGTTCACACAATAATCTGCAGGCACTGCGTGACTTTCTCTCTCTCCAGTCTTTACCTTTTGGTCTTACTCTCCTGCCACTAGGTCATCCTCTAAATCAACACATTCTAAAACTACTGGCCCATTTACTGTTTCTTGGACATGCCCCCTTTGAGGTCTTAGAAGTTGTTATTTCTGCTGAAATACTCTTCCCTTAGAAATCCAGATGTCTGTCCTTGCTTCTTCAACTCCCTTAAATGTTGCTCAAAAACTCCATTTCCAGAGAGGCTTTTCCTAAACACTCTTCAGCAAGGCCAATCCTCTCCCTATGTTCCTCCTTTGTGTTCTATTTTTCCATAGTACTCACCCCCATGGAATACTATATACATGTTACCAGAGTATAAGCTCCATGAGGGCAAGCATTTTTATGAGAATTCATTTTTCTCTTTGTAGCATCCCCTGAAACTCAAAGAGTGTTTGGCCCATAAGAAGCAACCTGTAACTATTTGTTCAAAAGTTTTTTCTCTTTAATCTCTCATGTGCTGTTATATTTCTCAGTCTACCTTTTTGATTCTGTACATTTTTTCTTTATATTTTTGAGACTATGTATTAGTTTTATACAAGGTTAAAACTGTTGTGTGTTATTGGTTAATTTAATGTTTTATGATATATTCTTATAATCCTTTTGCCTAAAATTTAATCTGTCTGACATTCTTACCTTTGAACCAGATTTCTTTTCATTAGTATTTAACGAGTTTATTTTTTCTCCATTCTTTTACTTTCAACCTTTCTGTGTAGTAATTTCAAGTGTTTCTTTCAAGTATCATTTAGTTAGGCTTTATCAAAATCTAATCCTACAAACTCTGTTTTAATGTGTTTATCTCATTTACATATATTGTGATTAATGTTATATTTGCATTTCTTCTGTCATTTTATTTTACAGTTTCTAATTGCCCTGCTTCTTCTTTCTTTTCTAGTTTCTTACTTTGACTTAATGGATTTAAACTCATCATTTCATCGTACTAGTGGGAGCTTACATATTCTACCCCTATTGCTAGGAGCTACTCTTACATGTTATGTTAAGCTACTCTTAAACATACCACACATACTTGGCGTACAGTCTAAAGTTACTTTATACCTACTTCTACCTTCCTTGAAAACAATTATTACTAAGGTTTCATAATACTAATACTTGTTTAGATTTACCAGTCTGCTTTATTTTTTAAGATTTTAAAAATTAAAAAAAATTGTTTGTAGGTACATAGTAGGTGTATATATTTATGGGGTACTTGAGATACTTTGACAAGCATGTAGTAAGCAGTAATTACAACTTGGAAAGTGGGGTATCCATCCCCTCAAGCATTTATCCTTGGAATTGCAAACAATCCAATTATACTCTTTGAGTTATTTTTTTTCTGAAAATCATCTATTTACTGTAATACATACAAGATAATCTTAAAATTGTAGTCTGAATTAAGATAACATTGACCAAAGAATTTTTTTCTTTACTACACAAAATATAACCTAGTGAAATTTATCTGTGCCACCTATTCTGAAAATTTTATCCATAATTTAGTGTTCTGGTTTTATTTTCACTAACAAAATGTTTACCCCCAAAAGCAGCAGTCATTTATAGTAATTCTGGTACCAACATCAAAGGAAAAAAATTGGCTTAAAAATGGTGCAAAAGCCATCTTGGATTTTAGGACAACACATCACAGAAAAGAACATGAATACAAATTTGTAATATAAACACTCCAAAGAGTTTGTCAGTAGCCAAAGTATTTTTATTGGTTTTTTGGATATGTTTTTAAGGGCCACATAAAAATAGATACAAGGAAGAAATTAAATTGAAGTCCTAGATTTAAATGTTTGGTTTAAAGAATTTTCTGCAACAAATTTCATGTTTATGTATGAAAAGTTATATAACACTAATGCAAATGTCATGAAGTATTTTCTACACTGTACTAAATGTATTCCCCAAGAGGGAAAAAATTAAAATATCTAAAATATATTAAGATTACAAGACCATCATAGATCTTTTGAACATGCATCTGTTTACAGAATTAACAGTATACGAAATGTTTATTTCATTATGGACCAGAAAGAAATGAGTTGGTGACAACTATCCTTTGCACAATATTATCAACTCACTTTAGTCACAAGCATGTCCTTGGTATGTGTGTGAAAGAAACAGGTTCATTTATCCCTCATCGAATCATCCACAGGTTTACTTGGAAGTAAAAATGAAGGTACAGACATGTGAAATATGTCAAGGGTATTTTTTTCTTTCTCTCAAACAACATCCCAAATGTGGCCTCAGTAGCCTGAAATTATGAAATACTTAACTAGGCTTTTAGTTATCTTCACTGACTGCTAGAATGTAAAATAAGTTGCCCAAATTAGCACATAAAATAACAAAATCAGTCAAAAAGCAGACTGAAAAGCATTAAATGTTTCATATAGGTGAGTTTTTAAATCATTTAATTTCTATAGAAAAATTTTATTCACAATATAATGTGACAGAAATTGCCACAGGAATGATATACTGATTGCAGTAAGGTTGCACGCAGCAGCAGCTTTGTATTTTATAGCTATTTTTGTTTATAAAAACAAAATAAACCTCTCCAGTTATGCTTATCACATGGTCTTAGATTTGTAATGTAAGTGAATAAGGAATACCATCTAGTTCAAAGAGAAAATGTCACTTTGAATGTGAATTATCTGTATGAAACATGAAGTATACTACTGAACCCTGAAACATGCATGTCTAGATTTGCTTTTTGTCCAAATCAAGCCTGTTTGCGATCACTTCCTACTCATGTAATACCAAGAGGTTCCATTTGTAATTACGGTTGTATCAGCTGAGGTTGCAATGGTGGCAGCAACTGAAGTGGTACCGTTGGTTCCACCAACTGGCCTGGGTTTGAAGGTGGTGGAGGAGCCACAATGTTTGTTGTTTCTACAATTTCTCCATTGTAAAAGAAAAACTGACACTGTTGAATGAATGTTTCCACAACAGGTTGATGAATCTCAGTAGTAGACAGAAACTCTCGATTTTCAACATCAGGTCTCATCAAGGTTGACCAAAAACATATGGATAAGTTGTCTGCTGTCATTAGGTTGATTTTATTTTGCTGACTGACCCTGTTTAGATGTGTTATCATGTATCTGAATTCATCATAGTTTGCAGGATGAAATTTCTTAACAATTTCTTTAAGGCGTGAGGACGTTCTGTTTTATCCAGGATTTTTGCTGCTTCCAATAGCTCTGGATGAAGAGAATATGGTATTAAAGGATCTGGCAGATCTGCAAAGAAAACTGTAAGGGCTCCAGCTTTAGCATTTACTTTTATTTCCATTGACACTAGATTGATATTATGATCTTGATCAAACTGCTTTTGAATATTGTTTTGGTCAGTTTTGTTCCTGCTAACACGGTAGAGTCCTTCGGTACATAACCCTGTATCTTCAATAAATTCCACACGTTTCTCAACAAATACTGGTATGGGTTTCTCAGCTGTAACCAGATCCCGGAGGGGCATCCCAAAGTAATCACTTGCCCGATTTCTACGTGTTGGTGGATTGAAGTTCTTAGTTTTCTTTTTCTGCTTTTTATCTTCTTTCACTTTGCGTGTTTTCTTCTTCATCTTCTTATCATCTAACTCCTGGTCAGAAGTGATTTCAGGATTATCAATACCACCTTTCCAAGTTTCAACAGGAGAAAGAAGTGGATCTTCTTCACTTCCATGATGTCTTCCTTTTCTTTTTGTTTTAGAAGTGGTGAAAACCTCATCATCACTTGCATCTGAATGTGTTCTTCTATAACATGACTTGGCTTTACTAAACAAAGTTTTAGATTTATATTTGTATTTTGAAGGCCTCCGTTTCCCATGATTTTTTGAGGTTCTGTAAGAAAATCCATTTTCTTCATGTCCTTGGGTGTTATTTACACATGAGTTTTGAATTTTAATGCAATTTTGACTATCATCTGGGACAACATAAATCTCATCAGAATAGCCCTTCTGTTTGAAAATTTTATCAACGGGTTCCGCATAGTTATCTGAAGGATCCATATCTTCAGGATGTGCCAAAGGCACCTGGGAAGTCTGCTTTCTTGGATTTTCACCAATACCAGCTTCGCTTGTTTTTAAAAGGTTTGGGTCCATTTTTTTCCACATTTGTCTTAAGTACAACTGAAGTAGATTTAATAGGTGGAGGCACTTTGTGGTTGCATTCATGGTCATGACAGTTTGGGGTACTATGAATAGGACATTCATTTCCTTCCAAATCTAATCTTTATCTGGAACAGTCACTAGGTGTTGGAAGCAACTGTACATCATCCCCAGTTGGACTATAAGGAGGTGGTGCTTCTGTGTCATCATCCGAATCAGGGTAGTTGTAATAGGGAAAACAGTCTCTGGGAGATGGTAGAAAAACATCTTCACTTTGGTGGGTTGATTCCCTTGCATTATCAGACAAATAAGAATTTTCTATCATATGATTTTTCTCTAGAACATCACTAAAAAACAGAATAAAGATCTCAGTTTGCCGATGATACTGAGATAAAGAATACAATGCTGTAAATTTAGCAGTGATCTCAGTTGCAATGTGTTCTCCTTCAGTCGTTAACTCTTTGATAGCCTCATTTTCAAAAAAAAATCTGCTTGGCTGTCAGTAACTGCCACCAGCTGTATAGGAATGGTGTCTTGAACTTCTGATAGAAATGCTCAAAACATTCCCATCGCCGTTTTCCGTTTTGCAGAGTAAACTAATATATATCCTTGAACTAGTTCATCTTTTCTTACTCCAATTGAAGAGTGGTATGATAATATTGTGATCTGTATTAGCCTCCTTTTTTAATCAATGATTTTATCAAGCATTAGGGAATTATTCTGTCCAGCTTGAGCAGCACTGCAAGAATGAGAATCAAAGAAGGGTGAAAGAATAAGATCCACACCAAATGGATCTCCACACATGGCACACATGACAATTCTCAAGTCAACTTCTGATATGTCCTTATTGGCAGGAACTGGGCTCACCACATCCAAATTGTGTTTAACTGACTCCAGTACTCTTAGAGCTTGCTTTATTTGGGTTTCATCAAATTTACAAGCATATGTACCAGCAGGTACATCTACAAAAGGACATTGTAACTTGTTTGCCAACTGCTGCCCTTGGTGCCTGAGAACTGGTAGATTCTTACTAATGGAATGTCTCTGATTAGCCAGAATTAATGTAAATGGAAGATTAGCCATTTGTTTATCTTTTCTGATCTGATAAGCTTCAGTTCTTATTTTCCCAATAAATTACCCAATAAAACTCAATGACTCAATGGAATTAAATACACAGAAGCACCCATGTGGTTTAAAGGTGGCAGTCCATAACTGACTCAAAAAGTAAGGCGAACTGGCCGAAGATCAAGTTCATAAATTTTCCATCTAAGGCATACTCATCATCAGTAGACTGTGCTTTATCTCATTTGCTAGTTCTTGGGCAAGGTCGACCTTCCCTAAAATAAAAAGGTTAACTTTATCTATATTGGTACTATCGTGATATAATCTTAAGCGGCCATGATCCAACTGTAAAAGACTACTAGCAAGTAACTGCTCCACTTTAATGTCTGTACAGTTTTGACCACTAAGACGTATTTCTTTAGTGGAATGATAAACAGATCCTATATGCTTAAGTAGAAGAGAGTCCCTATCAGGTGCAAGTTTCTGTAAAGCTTTATATCCAGGTTCTTCACTCAGAACCATATGAATTTCACTCTTTTTATCTGAACTAGGTGTTGCATTAAGATCTAAATCATAAAAAAGTTCGGAACACTCAAAAAGCAATTATTGAAACTCTTCTTTGGTTTTTCCAACCATTTCTTACTGATGCCTACCTTATTGCTATCAACCTCAGTGATATATTTGAAGGTTTCATCCTCCATAACAAAGCACATAACTTCCTCCCGTGGCTGTCCAGGTGAAATGAATTGAATTTTTTCCAAAGTCTTTTTGAATTTTTCCTTCATTTCTACCTTCCTCTTCTTGGATATTACATGTTGTACATGGTTCTGATAGACTTTTTCAGCTTCTAAAGTGCTCAGGAGGTCAAATGGAATCTGCCTATCGTTAATTTTGTCTATATGGTCAGTTTCATCCAAAGGTGTTTATTCTAGCACCACAAAACATAACTGGAAATCTGCTCTCTTTTCCATTAACTTCAAAGCTTCTGACCAGTTCAAATGTTCAGTCTCTTCCAGATTTGGCAAAAGAGTGTTAAAAGCTCTTGGTAAAGTATTTATATATTCTTCTCTCCTTTTTCTTATATGTTCCTGTTTAAGTTGCTTTATATGTTTTGAGAATGTATTTCTGGCCTTTCTTGTTCCCTCTAAGTTGATGTATTCTTCATAATCAGGATGATTTTTTAATTTATTACTAATAGTTTTCCAAGTTGCATGATAATCTCTCACAGTCTGCACAAGTTTTTCAGACTTATCTGTTGCTCTGACAGCAAGTTGTCTCTGTGTTTTATAAGCATCCAAATAAGGAATAATTTTAGGCTTGCTACGAGTTTTATCCAACATTTGTACCAGTGCCGTGAAATGTGTTTCAATGTTGACATTAAATCCTGCTGATATTTCCACTAAAAGAAGGTTCTTTTTGTTTGAAGCAAATGCCTGAACTTCTCTAAGATAATGATCCATGCATTCATCACATTTAGTTGCTGCTATTATTACAGGTATTTTTTATTTCGATAACAGGACAAAAAGGTTATTTGCAAATTTAAGTTGATCATCAAACTTCCTATTGCATCCCTGACTTACATCAATGCGTAATAAAAATCCATCTACATTGAGCTTCCCTTCAGGCATTTGCTTCTGTTCAAAGTCTTGTTCTAAGCCTAGTTGATCAGTGCAAATGTACATTAGCTTTTCTGCTGACTGCAATTTAGATGCAGCTGCACGTTTTATATATGGTTGCAAATTCGTACTCCGATGAGACAAGAAAGCCTGGTCATCAATGAACTCTGTTAAATGACATGAATTTTGCATTCTACTCCGTCTTCACCATTTTATGTTATGTCACCCCAGTAGTACAAAAAGTGATCGTTGTTTACTACTCGTCCTCCAAAGTCAACGGGGCTAACCACAGAAGTATGCTCTGGATAATATTCATCTGCTTTTGCGCGTACAAATCTATTGCACAAATAAGACTTTCCAACTCCACAGTTACCTTTGTCTTTTTCAGTCCCAGAAAGTCCACCTACACTGATAGTATAGGATGGGGGACGAGGCTCTTTGTTTTTTGCCATCATAACTCTCCTCTCATGTTTCTACATTCATAAAGGTAACCAGATATGCTTCTCATTCTGAAAATAAAATCATCTCAAAATACAGATCCCAAGTTTCAGAACTGTATTTGGTTCTTTGTGTTTCCCTCATTTCTGTGCAGAAACATCTTCAAGATCATAGGGATCATCTTCCTAACAAGGCTGGTCTCCTCAGTCTCCTCCTCCACCTCAATGGCAGCGGCCCTGGCGGTGGCTGCAGGAGAGGCTTTCCCGGGGAGCGCTCCCGCCGCCGCCGCCGCCGCTTCCTCCTCCTCCTCCACTGTCTGCTAGCCTCTCTTCCCCGGCGCGCTCACCGAGCGGCGCGTCCCTTCGGCCACCTCCCCCTGCCCTCCCCGACACACACGCCCCGAAACCCTGAGCCCCACGACTCCCACGACCTGCTCACCCACCCTCCCTCCCTCCCTCCCTCCCTCCCTCCCCGCCCAGCTGCGGCTGCGTCCCTCCCCCCTCTCCCAGCTCCCGCCGCAGGCCGGGCTCAGTAATGCAGGCCACTCGGGCTCCCTTGCGCCGACCTAGTTATTTTTTAATGTACAATTAAAGTATTGTTGGCTATAGTCACTCTGTTGAGCTATCAAATACTGTCTTATTCATTCTAATTATACGTATATGTTTTGTATCCATTAACCATCCTTACTTCCCTCCTTCACCCCCCACTACTCTTCCCAGCCTCTGGTAATCATCCTTGTACTCTCTATCTGCATGAGTTCAATTGCTTTGATATTTAGCACCCACAAATAATTGAGAACATGCGAAATCTGTCTTTCCAAGTCTGCCTTATTTCACTTAACATAATGACCTCCAGTTCCACCTATGCTGTTGTAAATGACAAAATCTCATTCCTTTTTTGTCTGCACAGTACCCTGTTGTGTACATGTAACCACATTTTCTTTATTCATTTGTCTGTTGATGGACACTTAGGTTGCTTTCAAATCTCAACCACTGTGAACAGTGCTGCAATGAACAATCACGGAAGTGCAGTTCCATACACTGTTTTCCATACACTGTTTTCCTTCCTTTTGGGTGTACACCAAACAGTGAGATTGCTGGTCGTATGGCAGCTCTATTTTGAGTATTTTGAGGAACCTCCAAACTGTTCTCCATAGTGACTGTAATAATTTACATTCTCATCAATAGTGTCTGAGGTTTCCCTTTTTTCCACACCTTCATCAGCATTCGTTATTGACCATCTTTTGGATAAAAGCCATTTTAACTGGGGTGAGATGATATCTCATTGCAGTTTTGATTGCATTTTTCTGATGATCACTGATGTTCATCTCCTTTTCATATGCCTGCTTCCATTTATATGTCTTCTTTTAAGGAATGTCTGTTCAGATCTTTTGCCTATTTTTAAATCAGATTATTATTTTTTTTCCCTATAGGGTTGTTTGAGCTACTTATATATTCTGGTTATAAATTTTTTGTCAGATGGGTAGTTTGCGAGTATTTCCTCCCCTTCTGTGGGTTGGCTCTTCACTTTGTTGACATTTCCTTTGCTGTGCAGCTTTTAAACTTGATGTGATCCCATCTATTCATTTTTGTTTTAGTTGTCTGTGCTTGTAGGATATTACTCAAGAAATTTTTGCCCAGGCTAATATCCTGGAGAATTTCTTCAGTGTTTTCTTGAAGTAATTTCATAGTTTGAGATCTTAGATTTAACTCTTTCATCCATTTTGATTTGATTTTTTTGAATATGGTTAGATATATGAGTCAAGTTTCATTCTTCTGCATTTGGATATCCAGTTTTCCCAGCACCATGTATTGAAGAGACTGTCCTTTCCCCAATGTATGTTCTTGGCACCTTTGTCAAAAAACAGTTCACTTGAGATGTGTGGATTTGTTTCTGGGTTATCTGTTCTGTTCCATTGATTTATGCTTCTGTTTTTATTCCAGTACCATGCTGTTTTGGTTACTGTAGCTCTGTAGTATAACTTGAAGTCAGGTGATGTGATTCCTCCTGTTTTGTTCTTTTTGTTTTGGCTATTCTGGATGTTTTGTGGTTCTACACAAATTTTAAGATTGCTCTATTTCTGTGAAGAATGTCATTGGTATTTTTATAGGGATGGCATTGAATTTGTAGATTGCTTTGAGTAGTATAGACATTTTAACAATATTGATTCTTCCAATCCATGAACGTGAAATACCTTTACATTTTTTTGTGTCCTCTTCAATTTCCTTCATCAGTGCTTTATAGTTTCGTTGCAGAGATCTTTCACTTCTTTTTGATTCCTAGGTATTTAATTTTATTTGCTGTTATTTGTAAATGGAATTACTTTTTTGATTTCTTTTCTAGACTGTTCACTGTTGGAATATAGAAATGCTACTGATTTTTGCATGTTGGTTTCTGTGGTATCAGTTCTAATGTCTTTTATTTTTCCAACTCTGCAACTTTTCTGAATTTGTTTATCAGTTATATACTTTTTTTGGAGTCTATAGGTTTTTCCAAATTTCAGGTCAGATCATCTGCAAACTAGTATAATGTGACTTCTTCCTTTCCAATTTAGATGCCCTTTATGTCCTTCTCTTGTCTGATTGCTCTAGCTAGGACTTCCAGTACTATGTTGGATAACAGTGGAGAAAGTGGGCATCACTGTTGTGTTCCAGATCTTAGAGGAAAGGCTTTCAGTTTTTCCTCATTCAGTGTGATACTAGCTGTGGATCTGTCATGTAAGTCTTTTATTATGTTAAGGTATGTTCCTTCTATGCCTGTTTTTTGAGGATTTTTATCATGAAGGGGTGTTGAATTTTGTCAATTGCAGCACCAATTAAAATGATCACATGGTTTTTGTCCTTCATTCTATTGATATGATGTACAACATTGACTTATTTGCATATGTTAAAGTGTTCTTATATCCCTGGGATAAATCCCATGCAGTCATAATGAATATTCTTTCTAATGTATTATTTAATTCAGTTAGCTAGTATTTTGCTAAGACTTTTTGCATCAATATTCAACAGAGATAGTGTCCTGTAGTTTTCTTTTTTTGATGTGTCTTTGTCTGGTTTTGGCCTCATAGAAGGAGTTTGGAAGTATTTCCTCCTCCTCTACTTTTTGGAATAGTTTGAGTAGGATTGGTATTGGTTCTTTAAATGTTTGGTAGAATTCTGCTGTGAAGCCATCAGGTTCCCAGACTCTTCTTTACTGAGAGACTTTTTATTACAGCTTTGATCTCATTGCTTGTTAATGGTTTGTTTGGGTTTTGGATTTCTTTATGGTTTAAACTTGGTAGATTGTATATGTCTAGGAATATACCCATTTCCTCTAGATTTTCCAATTTGTTGGCATACAGTTGCTCATAATAGCTACTAATGATCCTTTGAATTTCTGTGGTATCAGTTCTAATGTCTCTATTTTTTTCAACTCTTATTTTATGTATTTGGCTCTGGTCTCTTTTTTTCTTAGTCTGGCTAAAGATTTGTCAATTTTATTTATTGTTTCAAAAAACTAAATTTTCATTTCATTGATCTCTTGTATTGTTTTCTTAATTTCAAATTTATTTATTTCTGTGCTGATCTTTATTATTTTTTTCTACTACTAATTTTGGGTTTGGTTTGCTCTTGTTTTTCTAATTGTTTAAGATGCATTCTTAGGTTATTTATTTGAAGTTTTCTTTCTTTCTTGATGTAGGCTTTTACAGCTATAAATTTCCCTGTTTTTGCTGCATTCCATAGGTTTTGGCATGCTGTGTTTCCTTATCATTTGTTTCAATAAAATTTTCAATTTTCTTCTGATTTCTTCATTGACTCACTGATTGTTCTGGGCCATACTCTTTAATTTCCATGTGTTAATAGAGTTTCCAGAATTCCTGTTGTTATTGATTTCTAGTTTTATTCAACCATGGTCAGAGAAGATGCGTGATAGTATTTCAATTTTTTTGAAAGTTTTAAGACTTGTTTTGTAACCTAATATATGGTCTATTCTTGAGAATGATCCATGTGTTGAGGAGAAGAATGTGTATCCTGTGGCCATTGGATGAAATCTTCTGTAAATATATATTAAGTTCATTTGTTCTATAGTACAGATTAAGTCTGATGTTTCTTTGTTGATTTTGTGTCTGGAATATCTGTCCAATGCTGAAAGTGCAGTGTTGAAGTCTGCAGCTTTTATTGTATTGAAGTCTATCTATCTCTTTAGCTCTAATATTATTTGCTTTATATGCCTGAGTGCTCCAGTGTTGGATGCATATATGTTTACAACTGTTATATTCTGTTTCTGAATTGACTGATTTATCATTATACAATAACCTTCTGTGCCTCTTATTATAGTTTTTGTCTTGAAATCTATTTTGTCTGACATAAGTATAGCTACTCCTTTCCTTTTTTTGCTTCCATTGTCACATAATATCTTTTTTCTTCCTTTTATTTTCAGTCTATGTATATCTTTATAGATGAGGTGTGTTTCTTATAGGCAACAGTCATGGGTCTTGCTATTGTGTTTATTCAACCACTGTATGTCTTTTGATTGGAAATTTTAGTCTGTTTGCATTCAATATTATTAAGTAAGGACTTGCTTTTGCCATTTTGTTGTTTGTTTTCTGGTTGTTTTGTTTTTTGTTCCTTCCCGTCTTCCTTTTAGTGGAGTTGATTTTTGTTGGTGGTATGATGTAATTTTTTGCTTTTTATATTTTGTGTGCCCATTGTGTGTTTTTCAATTTGAGGCTACCATGAAGCTTGAAAAACTATCTTATAACCCATTATTTGAAACTGATGACAACACTAATTGCATAAACAAGTAAACAAGCAAAAAAAAAATGAATAAAAATTCTACATTTCAACTTCATCCACCCACTTTTTAACATTTTATGGTTTCTCTTTGTGTCTTATTGTACTGTCTACATTTTGAAAAGTTGTTGTAATTACTATTTTTGATCTATTCATCATTTAGTCTTTAAGATAAGAGCATTTTACACACCACAGTGAGAGTATTATTATATTCTGTGTTTTTGTGTGCTATTACCAGTAGGTTTTGTACCTCCAGATAATTTCTTATTGCTCGTTAAGGTCATTTTCTGATTGAAGAAATCCCTTTAGCATTTCTTATAGGACAGGTCTAGTGTTAATAAAATCCCTCAGTGTTTTTTTGGTCTGGAAAGATCTTTATTTCTCCTTCAGGTTTGAAGGATTTTTTTTTTTTTTTTTTTTTTTTTTTTTTTTTTTTTTTTTTTTTTTTGCCACATACTATTCTGGGGTAAAAAGTGTTTTTCCTTTAGCACTTTAAATATATCATGCCATTCTCTCCTGGCCTGTAAAATTTTGACTGAAAAGTCTGCTGCCAGAAGTGTTGAAGCTCAGTTGTACATTATCTGTTTCTTTTCTCTTGCTACTTTTAAGATCCATTCTTTATCCTTGATCTTTGAAGACTTTATTAAATGTCTTCAAGTAGTCTTTTTTGGGTTAAATCTGCTTGGTGTTCTACAACCTTCTCATACTTGAATATTGATATATTTCTCTAGGTTTGGGAAGTTCTCTATCATTATCCCCTTGAATAAACTTTCTGTCCCTATCTCTC